TAATCAAGTTCAAACTTCGTTTAGTTGTTTACATTTTCTATTGATAATTTAAATTGTTCACAAAAAATAATTTATTCTGTTATTTTATCTTACCAACTTTGTACTGTAATAAAGACAAATTATAGATTGTTGATCTTAATTATAAACTTTTGTAAAATAAACGAAATAAAAAAATTACTTCATGCGCAAGAATCCAAATACCACATCCAACATTTTTCATACAATGCATTTATATGTAAATAATACTATACTTTACTTAATATGTATTGTTACTAAAATTAAGGACATGTATTTAATTATTCATTAATCTGAAACCATTTAGATATTTGCTGTACTACAAACACAGATACGAAATTTTATTTAAATTTAATGAAATACATATTTAATGTTGCAAATACTTATAAATAAATCTAATTTCAATAATAATAATAATAATAATAATAATAATAATAATATAATAATAAGGTGTTTTATATGATTCTAAACTTCTATCCTTTCTATATCCTACCCAAAATATCCCACGTAAATATAGTTCACTTTTATCCTAAAATTAACCATGCATCATATCTTTGTGCACAAAAACCATATAAATATAGTTACCCAAAATTTTTCTTTATAATCATATTTAAATTATTTTTAAGGTGATTAAATCAAGAACTGAAAAACCATATATCACCCTACTGAAATTTGAAATATTATGAATCTGTGATGAATTTGAACAGATACTAAACCCTAGATAAGGTAATTCACAAACAACATTATATGTTAATTATACCTTAATTGTAATAGAGCTCTAAAACACCAGCAAACATCGCATTTGCATTTTAATTTACTTGTATAGATCAGGATGAACTTCACATAACCGAGATCCAGGAAATAGAACCTGTCAAAAGAAATTCAAACAAGAATCGTTAAATCTTTTGAACTTGGGTCGAATTGATCTGAACTGACGAATTTGGATGACGAAATTAAGTAATGCGTACCTGTAATCTATTCTGAATGTTTTTCGGCCGCTTGTTAGGTTTTCGTGGTGGCTTCTTCCCCGTAATGGCGATGAAATCATCCTCGATTTCTTTGCGTGATAGCGCAATTGAGAATTTAGCCCTCTCTTCCTTCTTCTCAAGTTTCCTTTTCGGCCTCGTTGATTTCTTCTCCGACATCGGATCATCAACCGATGCATTGATTTCTTCGGCGACTGGCGGTGGCGGTGGCGATCGATTGTTGTATTGTTTTTCAGAATTCTGCACGGCTTCTGAATTCACAGGCGGCGAGCCCTTACTCGGTGCAATCTCGACGTCATCTGGAGTATTGTTTTTCAGAATCGCTTCTTTCAACTTACCTACCTCCGTCTGAAAATCCATCACCAGCTTCTCTCTAGTTATTGAGATTTCCTCTTCATCTTCCGATGTAGCTTTTCTAACCGACCCGATATCCGGCGATTGCGGTGGCGCTGGTGCTAGAAACAATGGTTTCAGGTTAAATCGCACCCTCTTCCGCCTCGGATAATCACTCGATCTTCCTCCTGCTGGCATCTCTAACACCTCCACTTCTGCATGACGGTTTTCGATAGAACGATTGTTGTTATACTCCTCCGAATCTGAAGATTCATCATTATCAACGGCCGTCATTGCACGAATTGGATTAACGTTCATGCACCTCAAAAACCTTTGTGTCCCCCACATCAATCCTTGAGGTAAATTGAAATTATGCAGAGGTGATCTCTCCATTAACGAAACTCGAATCTGATGATTTCTGCTTGAAGATTTTAATTGCTTCACAAATGTTCTTGAAGAGGCAACAACCGGAACAAGGGTTTTTGTTGATCGCTGTTTTCTGTGCTTATGTGAGAATCGCCGCGAAACGTTATATACGCAAGGCAAATATATCAAACGCCGCCGTATCATAATGGCATGGGGAAGCTTTTGTCAATTAAGTGTAAAAGTTACACGTTTTCCCCTTCACGTTATGGTGTAATACACTTTTCTTCCCATTGTAAAAGCATATTTTCAGATCAAACAAATATCAATATGTATACAAGAGAAATATTGTTATAATACATCACTTTAAACATTACAAAACAGTCAAATTTATTTTCTAACAAGTATTAACCTATAATACTATCACTTGTTAACGCTTATGGCATTTTGGTAATGAAAGTTAGATCTTTCACTAATTCCAATGAATACCGAGAGTTCTATCAAATAAGGATCATCCTGATCAGAAAGTTGGGAGGCAGGAAACTCTTATGGCAGTCTGGTAATGTGTCCAACAACCAAGCCAACGTGACCATTTTAGACACCTCTCATGTAAGTAGATCAATCAACATTATAATTGGAATTAGTGATAAATCTTATTTATATATATCCATAACAACGATTATGAGTATAAATATAAGTTGCACTTAAAGTGTAGCTTAATTTACAAGGATCCTAGCAAAAATCGGGAAGATCATAGGCAAGGCTTCGATACCGAGCACTTCTATTTTCGCGGTCCACTGCCTCAGGGCTTCGCTAAAGTTCTCCAAAAGCCTAGAAAATTTGGACTCAAGGGGTGAGGGGTTTCTAGAGAGAGTTGGAGTGAAGAGAGGAGTGAGAAACAAATGAAGCCGGAGCACTCTATTTATAGTAAGGATACGCGTCGTGAACTATAGGTGCATGTTGCGTACTAGGGTAACGTCGATCCATTCATTGCATGTCATGTGTCAAAATCCATGTGGTCCATGCTACACCTTCTAGAAGTTGGCCGTCGCAAGCTTTGTGCATGCCGTGCAAAACGAGGATTTTGTAAATTTCATATCTTCTTCATATGAGCACCATTTTGTATGTTCTTTATATCCACGCATTGCTATCCATGAGATCTACAACTTTCATTTAGACTATGTGGGCTAATTCTCATTTTATTTTTAAAGTTATATTTTTATAGGCTTAGACTGTTAAAGTGTGTATAAAAAATCATAACTCTCTCTTACGATATTTGTTCTCAACTGTCTTTAAATCGACGGATAGGTATTGACAAGATCTTCAACTTTTTGTTTAGATTGTTTTTCCTAACAATCAACTGATCTTAATTTTGGTTTCTGTATTGCACACTACTATGTTGCAACTTCTAAAAATCATAACTTCCTCCTATGAAGTCAGATTTGGATGTTCTTTATATGCACGCTCTCCATTTTATTACTACGACTTTTGTCAAGGCTATTTATCCTAAATAGTCTTCTATAAAAAATGTTTATTTACATGACTGGTCGTTTATACTGTAAGACGAAAATTGGGTTTTACAACTCTCCCCTACTTATAGAGATTTCATCCCCGAAATCCTATTCATAATGCACCTTAAGATAATGCCTATACACTATCTTACTGGGGGTTTCACGAGATCGATATCAAGCAAGTGTTTTCGCATCAGATCCGTCCATATGTACTTATTTAGCCGTAAAACTTCGTTTTCTACCATAGACGTACTCCCGAGCTCCTCGTGAAGTTTTCCAAAACTGTGAATTCGTCAGTCTGGACTTCCAAAATATAGATGCTACGTTTGACGATCACTTTCAGACGTAAAATTTCAACACCATCGATTGGTTAGGAGGTGGTTAATTATGGAATTGTACCTATGACATCCTAACGGAATCCATTTTCAGGAACATGCCTCCAAAAGGCTTATGTTATATCATTAAAACATACATGAATCTAGGTTACGTACAGTTTCTTTACGTAGTTCAGGTGTTCCAACATCCTTAATTTTAACCAAGACTACTGTAACGATTTTATTGGCTTGAAAACACTGGAACCAATACTCTAATATTGGCGACAGACTCATAATAAGGCTTGCTTATCTTCCAGCCTACTAGATAAATATAAACACTAGCTTGCCTAATACCCCTCTCGCAAGGCTTTAACTATATTACTTATATCAAGGTACAACTATTGTTCAAGTAATTTGTTCATGGTACGTCGTGACACTTATCCAACTACTGGGATTATGATGCTAGATCACCCTTGTCGTCATCCCTCCTTGGGCCTAAAGACTCAAGATCAAACCTTTGGTGGTCTTAAACACTCACAACCATTATCCGATTGTCCTAAAGGAACTAAATTTTCATCCTTCCTTGATATCTACTTATCACAAAAAATCCCTGATTTTTAAACGTTTTGAGGCTACAACTAATTAAAGGTCCTTAATCTACATTTTACTGATGTTATAGTCTAACTATCATCCTATGTTAACCTATAAATGTTAAAATTTAAGCCTAGTTTTATATTAATTCTTATGCTTATCGACTAAAGGAATAACTAAATGAAACACATAGTCTATCTTGATGCCTAAAGTAATATTGAAGTATTACCATATGCTTAATGGGCATAGTTGTGACAACCCGAAATCTCTATCTGTAAGTCAAACGCAATCAATAGGAAGTCAGACTTGCTTTTGCTTCGGTCTTACTGTGTTTAGGATCAGTTTGAGAGTCTCTAAGCCTAGTATACTTAGGGATTGAAGGTTGAGAAGTGTCAGTTCGGGATTAGAGGAATGCATTCGAGCCGGAAACATCATCTATGGACGTTCACGGCCGCAAACTAGGTTCACTGTCATAAACCCATGTTGGGTCGTGAACACCTCTCCATATATATATATTATATATATATATATATATATATATATATATATATATATTAACAAGGTTGTAAAAATCGTTCGGCGGTACCTCAGCGGTCAACTGGGGTCAAGCGATTAATCGGTCTAGGCGGGGAGTAATCGCCGCCTAGGCGGGGACCCTTAATTGTAAAAAAAAAAACTTAAATATTACCTATATCATATGATTATCTCTAAACAAAATACTAACAAAACATGTAAATATCCATAAACGTTTACATATTCAAGTCATCAAACAATACATGTCCAAAGTAAGTAAATATTCATAAACGTTTACATATTCAGGTCATAAAGCATCATACAAAGTCCAAAATAAGTTTTATAAGATCAAACTTTTGATTGTTCACAGGCTTCTACTCTTTATCTCCGCATTCTTCCATGATGTGAACTCCATCCGATTCATAATCAACTTCTTCAAATACTTCCTCCTCACTACCTGACGCAAAATCTTCATCTAAAAGTTCTCTTGTTCTTGAACTTTGTCCGAGTTCATCGGTTCCTTGACCATCACCAACTATGCCAACTTCATCTTCATCACAATCACCACAATCAACAATCCATTCTTGAGCCGTGTGACTATCATTAGCTAATAACACTTCCATATTCCTTTCTTTTCTCTTTTTGTTTTTTTCCATCAAATTAGCATTAAATTGGACATAAACAAGATTGTTCATTTTACTTGCATCCAACCTATTTCTTTTCTTCGTGTGAATATACAAACGTAAAAAAAATAAATGGTAAAAAATATACAATATTATGATATAAAATTATAATTTAAATAAATTGCTTAAATTTGAAGTTTGAATTCTAACCCCTTCAAAGGTGCTCCAATTCCTTTCACATCCAGATGAACTACTAGTCAAAGAAAGAATTCTTATTGCCATCTTTGTCAAATGAGGAGTTGCTCCACCAAACGTACCCCACCAAGTTGCTATGATTTTTAAACATAAATCACATTATTAGATTCATAAATTGATAAATATGAATTTTTATAAAATAATTAAACAAAAGTAAAATGTTTTACCCGGATCATAGTCACCGTCATTAACTTCACATGCTTTAACTGCAAGTTCCCGACCAAATCTATCCATTTTTTTCTTTTACTTTGGCAACTCAATAGTCACGACTTGCTTTTGCATCTCTAAATCTCCGGCAAATAATGTATCAAAAAACTCAAGAACCGCATCCATTACTTCGGGATCATGTTGGAGTTGCGGATCCTTATAATGATAATAAGGATTTAGAAGATAAGCCGTCAAATGCAATTTTGAATCTAGTCTACCTTTCATTTTCTTTGATATGATATTTATGATAGGCTCATATGCTTTTTTGTTACCGCCTAAAGCATCAATGATTTCTTTTTTTGCTTTTTTAATCTCACCATAAACAAAACCATCGAGGGCTTCCAATCCGCATCAACCATACGAAGAACTTTCACCAAAGGGGAAAACACCTTTAAGCAAAGTGCCACACCCGCCCAAAATGTGGAACCTGTCACCAATGTATGACTAGATCTCCCTTTAACTGCATTTGAAAATTTACATTCTTCCCATTCGTTGCTAGAGAACATATGCCTTAGTTGCTCTTTTTTTTCAGACAAACTTTGTAATGTTAGATAGGCGGAAGCAAATCTCGTGACACCCGGTCAGATGATATCCCTTTTGTTAGTGAATTTTCTCATCATAGCTAATGTTTTGTGGTGGGCATAAATGAAGATGGTTAGTTGCTTTGCTTGATCTAAGACTTTCTTGAACCTTGGAAGCCCACCAATACCTTCAAAAAATAATCACGATTAAAAACACAAATAGAATTATAAAACACAATAAATAAAATTACAAATACCTTCAAGCATAAGGTTAATGGTATGTGTCGCACATGATGTCCAGAAAATCTTTGGTCTTTTCTCTTTTAGCAACTTTGCGGCTCCCATGTTATTCGTGGCATTATCGGTTACTATTTGAACAACATGTTCGGGACCAACTTCTTGAATGCAAGATTCCACATACTCATATATATGTTGACTTGTATGTGCTTCATCCGAACATTCTTTTGAAGATAAAAAAACGGTACCCATCTTTGAATTGACACATAAATTCATAATGCTCCTCCTCTTTCTATCAGACCAAGCATCCGTCATAATCGAGCATCCATCTTGTTTCCATTCTTCTTCATTTTTTTTCACTAAATTTTTTGTTCTTTCAACTTCTTTTTTTAAAATTGTGTTACTCAACTCATACCTAGTAGGAGTTGGAAGCCCGGTTCCATATTGGCCGATTACCTCCACCATCATTTTAAAGCTATCCTTTTCGAAGGCATGAAAAGAAATTGCACACTCATATGCCCACCTACCAATGAAACTTTTCACAGTTGATATTCTTTCTTTCCGAATAGCATTGTTAATATCAACTTTTTTGCCTTTTCCCGACTTCAAAGATTCTTCGGGGTTTAATGTGTTTGCAAAGTTATCCATCGGGCCTATAACATATGGTTCCCTCAAGCTCCCAAAATTATTCTCTATTTCATCTGTGTCTATACTAATGTTTTCATTAGTATCAAATCTCACCTCCGATCTTAACGCTTCATCATGTGCTTGTTTTCCCTTCTTTTTTAACTTTCCTTCATTGATAGCATCTCGACATCTCAACTGATCATCTTTGGTAGACTTTTGACATGGAGCTACATTTCCTTTCACATGAGCAATATGTTGTTTCATTCTTGAAGCCCCCCCACTATAAACTTTTCCACACAATGTACACTTCAATTTATCCAAGTTTGTAGGATCTGGGCAAATAGCAAATTCCCAAGCAATATCATTTGAATTCCTCTTTAAACCAGTAGCTGTTGAATCCATTGATTGTGTAGTTGAATTTTTAGATGCCATTAACAACCTTTAATCTGTGAAATTTTGAAAGAAATGGTAATTAGACATGGGCAGAAAATAACTTGAAATAATCTTTAATCTGTGTAAAGGAGTGTAATCTGGAATGAAACAGGAATGAAACAGGCATGAAAAAGATGGAATGAAACATGGGCAAAAATTAGGATTGAAACAGGGGCAAAATGGTCCAGCTTGTATGATCACTTATGAAACAGGGGCAAAAATCAAAACACAGGAAAGGAAAACCCAAACCAAAATAGTTGGACCATTGTGCAACTTGTATATTCTTATGTTCGTAAGCAAACAAAAACTGGAATGAAAAACCGAAACCAAGGGAAAAACTTACCGATGACAGCTGGTCAAAGTCGATTGTGAGAAATCCCGAATCCGGAATCGACAGATTGAATTCTTTGGACTCGAACGTGTGGTCGGAATACGTTGCAGCGATGATTAGAAATCACGATAATCACACTGATACAACACAATCATCAGGACATAAGTTGAATAACAATTAAATCGCAAAAATCAGAAACATACCTGCGAGTGCGAATCTGCGATGCGTCGTCGTCCCATGTGTCGGAGTCCGATGGTGAATGCTGTAGCCGGAATCGCTAAACCCTTGTCGCCGGAGTCTGATGGAGAATGTTGTAGTCGATCGCTGGAGAAGAGAACGAGATGAAGGAGGCGCAAAAAAAAACAAGATGAAGCTGTATTTCTTTTAGTCGATTAGGTTAAGAAAAAAGGTTTAATTTTGACTTTTTTTAGTTGACTTATGTTGACCTATTTTGACCGCCTAGACCGCCATTTTCCGCCTTTGACCGTCGTTGAACGATTCCGATTAATTCCAACGCCTATCAAAAATCCTATACAGTTTACCTCCGCCAAGCGCCTAGGCGGCCGCCTAGGCCGATTTTTACAACACTTAATATATATGTTCTTCCTTCATTTACCCCTCATTTCTTCTCTCCTTGGCCGAAAACTCCTCAAGACTCATCGAATAAAAGCTCTCTTTTCACCCCCCACAAACGTAAGTAATTCATCCCTTTTCACTTGTTATTCATCTTATTCATGTAAAGAGCTTCATATTCATCCATTGATTCATCACTTTCATCACCATCTTTATGAACTTTAAGAGTTCACGGCCGTGAACCCTTCATATGGTTGTGAACCCTTCATAGATGGGTCGTAAACCCTTCAAATGTCCATGTGTTCTTGGGCCGTGAACACATCTTGGGCTGTAAACCCATGGTGGTTTGGCCGTGAACTCCATTTCATCCCTCATTCTTGGTTCTAACACTTCATTTCAAGTGTTTCCTACATCCTAAGGGTGTTTCCTATGATCATTGGTGGTTTTAGACACTAATTCTAGGACTATACATGTTTATATATGCTTATTAGGGTCGTATTGTGCTCGGGACTTCACTTAACATACCAAGCATCCTATCTTGGCATTCACAATCAGGTGAGTTCATACCCCCATATTTTACAAGCTTTTTAATATTTTTAGGGGGAATACAAGTAAAAGCACAAGAAATCTTGTGTTTAAAAATATAATTTGGTTTATTATATTTTCCCTATCATTAGCAGGCATCGAACGTAGAACTTATTAAACAAGATAAACATCGTAATTACTAGACTTGAAATCAGTTTTACAAAACATGCTAAGATACAAACGTTACAAGTATAGTTTTCAAATAAGGAAACAAACATATGAATTAGGAAATAAAAGATACTATTTGATAAGGATTCATGTTAATAACAAAAAGGGTTTTTCATAGTATTATTCGTGAATTCGTTGAGAGAACTACAATGTGAGACACGTCTTCTAGGAAGTCTACCCCTTGTAACCAGAGTCTCCTGGAGGGAGAGCGTGAGTTTGTGTATAGATCTATACGGGAGTGACAGTCCCGCACCCTGACTATTAGCTACATTCAACCTAGGGTGACAAACGTCATTCAGTTCAAGACGTCCGAAGTATGTCGTAATGTTTATCGTCCATAGTATGGTTATAAGAACTCACTGGGGAAACAACGACTTGTTCACGTAATAATGTACTTAACAATATGTCATCAGGGTTAATAACTAGGGGATTACTTAGTATATACATCAAAGTGATATGAAATTAACATCTGGCATGCAGTGGGATGTGTGACATCCGCCTCATTCCCTGTTCCTTGTTTGGTTATGGGCTTAGGGCAAAATCACCCAATCGACTGTCTGTTCGATCTAGATTTCTATAACTCGTATGTACTAAGTGATCACAGGAGGGTATTAACAACACTGTCAGTATACAGAACAACACGTTTTCCACTAGTTTTATTTATGTAATAAAACTACTATGCATTACTGGTGGTAGCCAGTGTTTTCAAACAAAATAATGCTTAAACAACATAAGTATGGTAGATACTTGTACTTTTCAGTTTGGATCAGATAATTCAATAACTTACACTTAGGGAAAATATAGGATTTTCCAGGATAAACATCAGTGCTTTACAAACAATGGTATTATTATTCACTCAACAAATATTCATTATTAATTCTATGATTCCTTAGTTTATGCAACCGGGTTACGTATGAAGAATATTCGGTAGACTGTGGAATGTGTGGTTTCCGCCTCATTCCCTGTTCCTTGTTTGGTTGTGGGTTTAGGGCAGATCTACACAATTAATTGTCTGTTCGATATTGGTTTATACATAACTAGTATCAACTAAGTAATTATAGAAGGAATGGGTTTAATCATGCTTTTCATAAGAAAATATTGGATTTTCTTGAAGAATATTATCAACGGATATCAAAGGACCAGTGCAGTTGAATCTGTAAGTATCTAGTGAATACTTCAGGGTTATATACATGAAGATCTGACAACCAGTGGGATGTGTGGCCTCCGCCTCATTTCCTGTTCCTTGTTTGGTTGTGGGTTTGAGGCAGAACCACACAATCGATTGTTTGTCCGATCTGGATTGTATATGATTTGTATGCACTAAGTACTCGCAGGAGGAACTAGTAAGAATCATTTGTTTTTACTTTTCATTCATTACATAAGAAAATATAAGGTTTTCAGGAGAAACACAACGCACTTTTCGAAAGAACACAGAACAGTTTTCTAAAACAAACGCTTATGAACTCACCATCTTAATGTTGATACTCTTTCAAAACCTACTTGTATTCTCAGGACATTAGTAGAAAGGTACATGCGTCGGATTCAAGAAGATGAAGCATAGTAGCTTCGAGTCTTTACTTGTATTTACTTTTGAAGTCAGTATTATATGAATCAAATGTAATGAAAACATTATACTATTAATACAATGGTCGTTGTTGCTTTGATTACTATTATTCAATTGTTGTGATACTGTACATGACGTCATCCGCCCCCGAACGTTTCCGCCGTTCCGGTTTGGGGTGTGACAGATTGGTATCAGAGCATTGTTTATAGTGAACTTAGTATATCAACCAGTAAAATATATACAACTATAAATATAATGGGGCCGAAGTGCTCTGACTAAAAGTATACTTTTAAAATATAAGTATTTTGTGAGAAGTATAGTAATAAACATACATGCTAAGAACAAGTATCACAATAAGAACAAATAGGAACAAAACAAACAAAAGTATTTAGATGTTGGACACTACAGTCAAACCTAAGAAGTTATGTAATCATATCTGGAATAAATATAACTTGATCAACTATATTTATTTGAGATACGACCAAAATGTGTTTGGGAGTGATGGCGGTGTCGCAACGAGTCTAAAACTTACCTAACTCTATACACAAAGTATCCCTAGAACAAAACATGAAGATAAAATACTATAGCAGTATTTTAGGCACTATAACAAACTTACATGAGAACAAAAAGACCTTTACTGGCAGGTCTATAGTTGAAAAGTGCATGCTTCCAGGGTTATATATAATTAGGATCTTATAGACATAGAATTGGTGATTTTCGCTCTACTACCTGTTCCTTGTTTGGTTGTGGTTTTAGAGTAAGATCACATATTCAAAGGTCTATTTGATCTTGGGTGCATACAGCTTACATGCACTGCTCGACTATAGGAGGACCCAGTTTGGATCATCAATAGCTACAGAAGAAATGATTTACTTAATCTCATAAGATTCTTTAGACATTCCCATTCTCGCACGAACAACCTAGACATAGATAGCCGCTCCACTACAACCACAAAAAGAGAAGCCAATGAGGAATCATACGAGGAGGCAAATCTTCCATCAGGAAGTGATGAAGATCTGTGGTAAAACCCGAAGCATGATCTACAGAGAATAGGAAAACCATAAGAGAGTCCAGAGACAATAAATTCCAATAGCTGAATTCAGGACCATCATAACTAGGACAGGAAACCCCACCCGAGGCGCGCAAGGTGATCTAGTGAGTTAGTGATTACATTGCTCACACTATGTGTCAGGCTTATCACCTTTATCCTATCAGCTAGTATCAGTAAACCAGATCCCATAACTTCATTAAGAGGGTAGTCACTATCATATTCATAAGTCTATGTTGTATAGACCTCTGTTATGAATTGCTTCAAGAGACAGAACTTGAAACACTCAGAACTAAGATAACTCCGATTTAGATAACACTCGACTTGTAACCACTAAGAACTTACCCTCGTTTCATCTTTTAAACCTTATGGCAGAAAGATGCCACCAAAGAAGTCGAACAAAAACAAGAACAACGAACCACCACCACCTCCTCAGTATGACCCGGTTGTCTTTCAGGCGGCGGTAACAGCCGCAGTGACAGTTATCATGACTCAAATCAACGCAAGTGGTACCGGTGGGTCGGGTAGTGGTACCAACAGCTTTAACCACGTACACACAAAGGAGTGCTCATACAAAGAATTCATGAGTTGTGGACCCAAAACCTTCGATGGAAGTGGAGGAGTCATCGCCCTAATGCGATGGTTCGAGAATACAGAATTGATTTTTGAGTTATGCGCGTGCCCAGAAAGGAGCAAAGTGA